CTGGGTTGGCCATGGGACTGGGCAGCCATGGGGTGAGCCTCAGGCTGATAGGCTGTGGTCTGGGGATTGTACCCCCCCCCCCCCGCAGGAGGTTTTCCTGCCATTAACACACCTGCTATCAACTTCTGTATGTCTTGTGTTAGTGTGCTGTATGCACCTTGGAGTCCTCCACCCTGCTCCCATCTTCCTCCCTTGGTCCAGCTGGGTACCATACCTCACTTCCAAGTCTCTCTTGAAGCTGGAACTTGACTCCTGCCTCTTCGTATAAGCAGGACTGGCTGATGGAGACTGGGCGTCCCTCAGAAGAGATGGGTGTGCTCCTTCCCCTCTCCTCCCAGGCTGGACAGCAGATGTGATGGTTGGAAGTGCAGCAGTCATGATGGGTGATAATGGGAGGCCCCTGGTGAGGGTGGCAGAGCACGGGGCAGGGGAGCTGGGTTCCTGGTGGCCCTGGAATCTGACCAGCCCCGGAGGGCCTATATCTTCACGCCTGAAACAAACTGCTTAGGTTACTGTAACTGCGTTTTCGGTCTCTTGAGCCAGACCAGATGCTAACCCAGATGGAGGTGGCTTCCCCAGCTCACCCCTCTTACAGCCAAAGAGAGCCACCCTCACCAGGCTTTGGGGTTTCTTTCCAAAGCTCTGCTAGAAAATAAAGAATCACCTAACAAGGGGAGTTCTAAAGACCTCAGCTGTGGAGGAGACATGCTGCGCCCCCTGCCAGGCAGGGGCTTTTCCTCCTCCCGAGCATGGGTGGTCACGAGCAAGAGTAGCAGTGTCTACAGGAGGATGGTGGTAAGGAGGAGCTGCCTCGGGTCACAGCGCCTGGTCCTTCTGGGGCAGCAGGCCCTCCCCTGCCCTCAGGTGGCCTGGCCATCTGGGAGCTGACCTGGCTTAGAAGCCTGCGTCCACACAGTGCCAGTCTGTGCAAAGGCTCTGTGGCTGGGACAGGAGGGGAGCGAGGGACAGGACTGGAAAGAGGGAATAGGGCAGCCCCCAGATGCCCACCCTGGTTTCCACATCTGTCCAGGACTGATGGTAGCCTGAGCAGGGTAGGGGTGGGGGAGGAGAGCTGCCCACAGAGGAACACCAGCTGCTGCCTATGACAGGAGCACTAGAATGAGAACAGGTGCCAGGCCTTGGAATAGGGCCTCTGGGCTCTCCAGTGACTGAGGGTGCCAGGCTTTCTGTGGCCCATCACTGGGCAGCCACTGCCATGCCAGGCTGAGTCACCCACAGGCAGGGCTATCCGCTGTGGCTTCTGCAGAACCAGTTTGGCAGGCTTCAGGCTCTGGGCCAGCATGGGCCTCACTCAGCAGCAGCTCCAGTTCAAGCACTGGACCCTCTGATGAAGCCAGAGATCCTGGTCCTGCCCCTTCCTCCCAGGGCTGTGGGTTCTCTGCCTGATGGGGCTGCCAAGCTGCACCTGCACCTGTTCTCCTTGGGGCTGGCAAGGCAAAGAGCGAGTCCTGGCAGCACCTTCCTGCCCCTCCTGCTACTCTCCTGGTTCTGGGAAGAAACTCCCAACACTGTAGGAAGCTCTGTAGGGTGGGCAGTCCATGGTTGGTATGGTCACCAGTAGTGCCAGCACCCTCTCTTGCTCCAGACAGTCTTATCACCTGCAAGGAGACGTCCCCTTAGAGCAGCACCCCAGTCAGTGGCTCCCTTCCCTTTGGTTGGGCCAGTTCATATGGTTCCCAGGGAAACAGACACCATGAAGTCTTCCAGCCTTGGATGTCCCCAGGTCCTCCCGTGGGTAACCGGCTTCTCTTCTGAACACGGGTTTTACTGAGGTCACATCACACATTTTCAGGGCACTGTCCAGTACTGATGGACGGTCTGGCCAGCTCAGGCCTGCCCAGCACACTGCAGTATGGCCTGTCCCTCTCTGTCTCTGGTCTCATAGCATGGGGTATACAGGGGTCTGTTGCCCACGCTGGCTGTGGGCAGCCTTTGAAGTCATCCATAATGAGGCCAATGGGTGATAGTGTTCACAGGCCTTGGTTGATCCAGGCCACTAGGAATTGGGGGTCAGCACAACCTCAGGGCACCTTTGTGTGGTTAGGGGATGCTGAGCCTCAAAATGAGTTCACATTCAGGGTCATAAAACTAGGGCCTGGTAGGGCCCGAGATTCCTGTTACCACCCCAAACTTCTGGGAGTCAGCAGACAAGTTCCCACTGTCCTTCTGGGGGGTCCTGGGCTAAAGGTGCCACCCTCATTTTGTTTTGTTTGGACTAAAACTGTAGGCCCAGCTCCTGAGAAGGTAGAAGAGAAAGACTTCCCAAAAGGGCTGGGGCTCTGGGGCCTGTGGCTGGCCTGGTGGCCTGCTCCCCAGGAAGCAGCACCCCATTTTCAGGTAGCCCTCTCCTTTCCCTGGGAGAAAAGCCCTCCTTGAGGGTGGGATATGGCTCCAGAGGGGCCTACCTCTGTTCCCTGCCCTGCCTTCCTCATACAGCCAAGGAGCAGAATGAGGGGTTATTTCAGGTGCAGAATGGGGCTCGGGGGACCCCGGGCTCCTGCTGTATCCAAAGCCCTTAGAAGGACAACGCACAGGCTGGCAGCAGCACTGACCCACTGCCTTCCAGGGTGACTGCTGCTTGTTAGGCTCTCCAGTGGCCTGTGATGTGACAAGCAAACCTGATATAGGCAGGTACATCCAGAACATCTGAATAATCACAACTTCATGAAAACCACTGACCTGGCTGGGAACTGGTCAGGGGACTCTGTAGACAGAGCTCCAAAGGCAGTTCCATGGCCAAAGGCCCAGAGAAGTTACCCCACACTCCCAGGCATCAGATCAATGCAAATAGAACCACTGTGAGAAACCACTTCGCACCCACTGGGAGGGCTATTTTTAAAAAAGCAGAAAATAACAACTGTTGGTGTTGGGGGGGGGGTTTGGAGGGGGGAGCCTGCCTGCTCTTCCTGAGGAGGAAGAGCAAGAGCCAGACTGTGGACCAGGGACCTGCTTCCGGCCACACCCCCCCCAGGCCTACACCCATGTGTAGGTCAGTGTCTTGGCTGAAGGTGGCCCCCATGTGGCCATCCACACAGGGCATTATTAACCCAGAGGGAAGGAGGCTGGGACCTGTGGTGAGCACCCTGGGGATACTATGTTGCTCCTCAGGCCCTGGAGTCTCCATCAGAGCCCTGAGGGGGTGGCAGGGACAGAGCTGGGAGGCTGGAGCCAGAGTTTTTGCTGGGAAGATGGAAGTGTTCTGGGTTGGCCATGGGACTGGGCAGCCATGGGGTGAGCCTCAGGCTGATAGGCTGTGGTCTGGGGATGGTGGGGTGGTGAGGTTGTGTGCATTTTACCACAACTTAAAGTGAAGGGCTGAATCTGGCCCTCCCACCATGCCTGACTTTTAGTTGACCTAGGTTAACTGCTTTAGGCCTTAGAGTTATCTCCAGATAAATTAGGGAATTTTTGTCCACCCAGGCCAAAGGAGTTCCCTGAGGTAGAAAAGATAAGCTGAGGTTAAGATTTTTGCCCCAAGTAAGTGGATGTTTTATATCTAAGAGCCAATTTAGGCTCTTATTTTCAGAGCTCTGTTGATCCAGCAGGAGCCGCCCTTACCACCTTCCAGGGGCCTTGCTGGGTTAAGTAAACAAGCTTCTGTATTCTCTGTGTTTGTATGAGTTATGATTTAGGTTTTTGAAAATCATACTCAAGGTTGACAACCACTAGGTCACGGGTACCCAGCGCCCCGCTTGCGGGATCCAGGTGATAGGGCTCACACATGGTCCCCTCCTGGGCACAAGGATGCTCACCAAGGGATGCCTGGGTGCAACCAATAACCCCCTGGCCACCCCCCACACCCATGGGGCTTCCACAGCCAGGTTTAGCTGGAGGCCCACTCATTGTCCCTGCCCCACCTTGTGCCTCCATCCTTTCTCTGCTCCAGCTCCCATGACTGCCACCCCAGAACTGGGGACTGATGCTACCCTCCATAGAGGACCAGCATGAGGACAAAGGGATGGTGGCTGTGAAGCCTCAACTCCAAGAGCTACCAGGCTTACCGGCACCTCTGTCCCAGAGCCCTCAGCAGCAACTCCCAGGGAGGGATGGGAGCAACAGATCCTGGGCTGGTGGGACCTGGGGACCCCTCCCAAACATGTGGCTTGCCCCTCTGTGTGAGGCCCACTGCAGCTTCCTGCTCGGGGCCCCAAGGCCTCCAGCTCTAGGTTCAGGTCTTGCTCAACAGTAACATCAACCTGCATCTGCCTCCTTACTCCCTGGACTTGGGGCAGAGTTTGGGGCCAAGTTCCTGTAGGATGCCGAGGCCCAAAGATGGCCGCCCACCACTGTCCTCCACACTGTCTTCACTGAGCCACTTGGAGGAGAGGACCTGGGGCACAGGTGCTCAGCAAACCTTGTGGGCAAACAGAACTGTAACAAGGTGGAGGAGGGCCCCTGGGACTGGGCGTTGGTGGCCTCTGTCCAGGCCAGCACAGGAGCCCTCCCTGCTTGGGGAGCTGGAGGAAAAGCTGGATGCAGAAAATGTCCTTCAGGAGTTGCTGAATGGGGTTCCCCTTAGAGAAGTTGGGTGGCTGCCTGCACTCGTGGTGCCCATTCAGGCAACTGCTGAGGGCTGCATGGTCAGGCGTGTCCAGAAATCAGTTTCAAAAGCGATAGTTGCACGTGACTAGCCCAGTCCCCCAGTCAAGGTCCCTGTAAGGTGGCCCCTCCCCAAACCACAGGGGCCACGGAGCCTGGCAGGACACCCGGTCCTGACCTTCCAGTGGCTGTGGCTATGTGCACAGTGCCTGACTTCTGGGGCCTCAATCTGCTCCCCTGTAAGGTGGACCAAACGCCTCTCCAGTCACTGTGAGGGACTCGGGGTCAATCACCGGGAGGCTAATGGCAGGCTGGGCTAGGTGCAGGGCCAAGCCTTGTGCACGATGGTGGGCAAAGGGGGACTAACCTGGGCTGTGCACGCCTCTGCACCCCCACCGCCACGGGCTCCTCTGCCCTCACTGGCCCCAGAGCCGCGCACACGGGCCTGAGCAAGCAGACACTGGCCCCTGGCATCTGTCTGGGGCCCTTATGTCCCACTCCATGCAAAGGAGGCACCAGCTGCATTGCCCAGTTGTTCCTCCCCAGGTTGCCGGCTATTCCCTAGGTTTTAGCACAATCTGGAGCATAGCTTAGTCCTCTCCACAATACTTGGGGCACAGCCTGACTCGCAGCGTTGCCTTCCTAAGGTATTTCATGCAGTGCCGTGCCCAGCGGAGAACAGGCCGCGTCCCAGTAATCACCCGGGTTGGGGGTGGGATGAAGCTGGACAGACTCGCACGCCCGGGCAAGGGCCGCCCCGGCCCCGCCCACCGCTCCAGTCCCTCATGAGGACCATCCCGAAGATGTGCCTGTGGGCCTCCGAGATGGGGATGGGCTCTCCGAATCGGTTCCCTGGCCCTAGACAGCCGAGTTCTTCTGCGGATGATGCTCTCCCCACCCGTCCAGGCCCCGCCCCGCCGCCCCGGCCCCGCCCACGGCCCAGGGGCCAAACTCGGATACGCCCCAGTTGGAACTCTTGTTCAGGACCGTGTTGTACCACAGCACCTTCCCTTCTGGCCACACGAGGTGGCCCCAAAACCAGGAGTCCACGGCGACCGTCAGGCCTAGGGAAGCAGGGCGGCCTCAGGAAGGGCAGCCGTGGGCAAGGCAGCATGGCCACCTGTGCCCTGGGCGCCAGCCCACAGGAGCCCCGACCGGCGCGAGAAAACCCTCCAGACGCCTCTGCCCCGAGCCCGGGCGCAGCGCAGGAACGGCCGGAGCCGCCACTCACCGAGGCAGAGCGCGCCCGCGGGCAGGGCACAGCGCAGGGCGCTGGGCACAGACAGCCTCCGGGACAGCAGCAGCTGCAGCAGCAGCAGGCCCAGGAAGCCGCTCAGCTCGGCCCTGAACACCAGGATGGCGAAGGCCGAGAGCCGGACGAAGCGGGCGCAGCGGCGCTGCAGCCAGGCCACCAGGGCCGGCAGGACTGCGGGGGGCGCGC